TATGATTATGAACCTCTGGCACGTGAAAGCCGGAGGAGGTCGGACCACCTTACTTTTGAGGCAAGGTCTCTCTGAACCATAAGCTTGCTGTTTCAGCTAGGCTGTTTGGCCCGAGAGTTGGCTCCACCGGTCTCTGCCATCCGGTTCTGGGCACAGGCATTTGTTGTTATGCCCGGCTTTTACATGGATGCTACGGCTTTGAACTTAGATCAGTGTGTGTTCACAATAAACACTCTTACATACTAAGATATTTCCTCAGCTGCATAGCTGCTATTGCTATTCTCATTTTACAGAGAAGAAAGTAGATGTAAGCGAAGACTGTACTGTCAGTAAATTTCAGAGCTTTGCTTTAATCCCAGTCTGCCTTTAGAGTGTTTCTTGGTCACTTATGAGATAGTAGCAATCTATGTAGAGGAAGAAAGGATGGACATAGACAAAATTATGCCCAAATGTCTGCTTGTCTTGGCAGCACACAGAAGGAGGCTTGAGGTCTTTCCTCATTTTACAGTGTCTATGCTACTAACTCGGATTAGGCTCAGGCTTCCAGACAATCCACCAAAGGGAAGCCAGCCCCACGGTTCAGCTCATCAGCTGTTTTCCTGACTGTGCTAGTCCTAGCTTGTGACATGGTGGTATCAGGAGGTGATGCCTTTAGGCGATGTTTAGGTCATGTAGCTGAGCCCAGGGGAATTCACCTGTCCCCTGATGTGACACAACAAAGAGAAGCAGCTTACAAACCAGCAATGCCCATTATCGTATGTCGACATGCTGACACCCTTACTTTAGACTTTGTAGCCTCCAGAACAACGACAGGGAAACTTCTGTTTCTGTGCCACTCGAGCCAGTTAGGCAAAAGAAGTTGCTATAGGGAGTAAGCTGTTGCCATAGAAATACCTAACCTCGTGGAAATACCTTTGGAACTGGATGATGGAGAGAGGCTGGATACTTTCAAGTACATTGCCGTGAGAAGCTGGCTGCGTATTGGTGATTTGGGTGCGTGTACGGCAGAAGAGGGAGAGTGCTGTCGCATCTTTCCGGAAAACACCCAGGTGTCTGTGAGCAGAGCACTCAGCGGACACACACACAGTAAAGCCATTCTCAGGGAGTCGCGGATGGAATGAGGGACTTTCTGATGGGACTTGGACGAGTGGTGATGTTAGCTATAAAGCTCCACGAGCTGGGATAAATCATGTTCATGTCCCAGTCTTACTGATGTCAAAGTGCCAACACCCAGCAAAGACTTTCCTGCTGTCACAACCCAGACCAAAACGTTGAGAGCGCGCATGCGAGGAGGAGTGGGTCGGGTGGGTAACGAGTGTGTTGGGGCGCTCTAACACAGCCTTGGTCACTCACTGACTCCTGTGGCAATAATCACCCTTTCGGAGTCACACACCTCCTAAAGGTCCCAGCGTTGTGGTGCTGGACATTGTTTCCGATGCAAGGACTTTGAGGGGCACGGCCAATTCAACAGACGCCAATTCATGCCATTGAATTGAGGAGGTGGCCCACTTAATAGAGATGAAAACCTCACATCTTCTTTGGTACTGTCTGTTAGCAACTTTCCTAGCTCCTTCCCCAAGGGTTGGGATCAAATCTGACCTCCAGTTTTGGCCACACCTCTGGCTCCCTGGTTCACATGCATCTTCTTCCAACCACTTAGAGGTTATAGTTTCTGCAAGGAGGCAAACTTGTTCATGCCAGAGAAGCATTTGTTAGTTGTAAAAGAAGAAAGGGAACAAGGTCGAACTATCGTTTGTAGTTTTGGCTCATTTGTGGGCCCTGCCACCCAGCTCCCAGGCAAACCAAGGAGGCTGATTCTTAGTTATGAAAGTCCAGCCTTAGCTTGGCTTGTTTCTAGCCAGCTTTTCTTAACTTAAATTATCCCATCTACCTTTGCCTCTGGGCTTTTCCTGTTCTCTTCTGTAAATCTTACTCTTAACTCTGTGTAGCTGGGCGGCTGGCCCCTGTCATCCTCCTCTCCTTGTTCTCTCTCTGCTCCTTCTTGCTCCTCCTCATTTCTCCTTCTATTTATTCTCTCTGCTGCCAGCCCCGCCTATCCTTGCTCCTGCCTCACTATTGGCCATTCAGCTCGTTATTGGACCATCAGGTGTTTTAGACAGACAAAGAATCACAGCTTGACCAAGTTAAATACAACATAACAAAAGTCACCCAGCTTAATATTCTGCCACTTGGAACAATTCTCCTTTTCCTTATCCCTAGCCACTCTCAGCTTTATTTCTATCTTTACTCCGTTTCTCTTTCTTAAAGCATACTCAGAGCACTAAGATGAAGGCTTGTGTTCCTCTTTGTCACTAACTCTGCAGCCTTGTGACCCCAGGGATAGCGACTCTTCGTAGCTTGGCATGAATTCTTTCAACTTTTTATGGATATTCTCTTTTATCTCATTTAGATAAAAATAACTGGCATCTGTACTTACAGAAAAAAACTCATTTAAGTAGAAGATGTATGGTATGCTACATTTGTAGAATATATATAGTTATATTGTCCTTAGGGAGAATATATCATTTATGTTAACTTTCCCTGGGGAAACATGAATGAGTACCCAATGACAGGCCACTACCTTGGTGAGCCAAAGGGTTTAAATGGAGTTTCTCAGAGAGCAAGGATGAGGGATTTCCTACAGGAGCAGGGCAGCGCTGTGCCAAAGAGTGACTTTGCCCAGCAGTTGTCAATGCTGATAATGCATCCTCACAGGAGGGCAGGATGCAGGCATTGCCTCCAGGGCAGTCTCCTTGGTAACCCCACTCACTGCCTGTCCCCTATGTGAGGGGATATAAACAAGTCTAGTACTGTGAGGGTCTTTTACATGGGTAATCACAGCTGTTATGACGTCCAGAGGGCAGCAGCCATGCTGTGTCGGGACAGCATTCCACAGCAGTGCTTTTAAATGCAAGTAGAACTGTAATGTACAAATGTTGACACTTCCTTGTGTCAGATCTCAGCTGCCTGTTTTGTGAGACAGATCTCGATCTGCAGCCCAGGATGGCCTGAAATCCACTCTGTAGCCCAGGCTGCCTCTGCCTCCCACGTACTGGGAATATAGGCCTGAGCCATCACCCTCAGCTCTACACCCTGACATTTTGCTTTTAATATTATAACTCAGTAATTTTTTAATGCCGGTATTTAGATTTATGTAAGAACCTTCACATGTGGCATGCTTTTCACAATGTGGTTCCACCATAGTTAGCAGTCATTCTCTGTTAACGGACGTTTAGGTTATTTCTATTTTTTCATTGCTACAAATAATGCATGATGAGTGCATTTCAGTGGAGTCACATGAACATTTTCCTGGGGTAAACACCGAAGAGGTATAACTGTTGGAACCTTGGGATATGTATAGATATAGATAATGATATAGGTATGTTGTAGATATAGATGATAAAGATATGGATTTCATTTCAGAAAATGCAAGCACTTCCCAGACTATTGCAGCCAGGACCCTGAGTGCTTTGAACTCAAAGGACAGCCTCTGACTTCCCTCCCTGCTCTCTGCCACGTCCTCTTTTCCTCTGGAAGTTGCAGGAAGTTCTTTGATCTGACTGGCAGAATTCCTTCAGAAGGAATGTAATTGTCTTACCTCCTTCCTCCCTTCTTGTATCTCATTAAACATGGACAATTCCCTCACAGGAAGAGGACAGTTAAGGGTGTGACATCTGGATCTGGCCCAGGGAGGCTACTGTAAGATGTCATCCATTCTTCTGTGGGTTCGGGCCCAACAGAGCACATACGTAGCAAGAATGACTAAGTCCACCATGCATTCCTTCCCCTCACTATCTTAAGAGCTCTCTCATGTGATATACATGAAGCAGTTAGCTGATAACAAGAAAAGACTTAGTTTGGCTCAGACTCTTGAGGCTCTAGTCCAGTGGTTCCCAACCTTCATAATGGTGACTCTTTAATACAGTTCCTCATGTTATGGTGACCCCCAAGCACAAAATTATTCTTGTTGCTACTTCATAACTGCAATTTTGCTACTGTTGTGAATTCTAATGCAAATACCTGTACTTTCTGATGCTCTTAAGTGACCCCTGTGAAAGGGTTATCCAACCCCCAAAGGGGTTGGGACCCACAGGTTGAACCACTGCTCTATTCTGAGGTTGCATGGAATCTTTGCTTTGGGATTCTGGCAAGGGTGACAATATCATGCAGCTAAGAGAAAGAAGCCAGGCTGAGAGCACATAGTCCCACTTGGAGGCATGCCCCCAGAAGCTAATGACGTTCCTCTAAAACTCACCTCCCATACTACACTCGGGAGATAAGTCTTAGAGGACTTCCACCCAAACTGCAGCACGAGCCTGTGGTCTGCTTCTCCCTCAAAGGCTCTAGTCCTCTGCTCCTTCCTGTGACCAAGCAACCTCCACCATAAACTTCAAACCCACTTCTTCCTTTACTCAGAATGCTGTTTGAGCTTCCACTGTCTACAGTTCCATACTTAGTATGACACCCGTTTGCTTGGATATTAGTTAACTTGTGTTCTTTTCCTTCAGTTAATATATTATCAGTTTGTTTTATAGACTGGAATTATCAACTCTTCAGGGGTTAGAAAGAGGAAGAGAAAATCTCCTATTCTTAACTACATCACACATTTTAACAGAGAACTTAAACTGCCCTTTAAGGTGCTACAAACACCAACTCCGAGTTCTCTAGCTGTGAATGAGTATTGTGTGAGTGCCATCAGTCATCTGTCTACTAGCCAATGTTAATGGAGCATTTGTTAATTTGCCAAACCACGGAGGGGGGCACCTCAGCTATGCTTTGCTTTGAGTTTCCCTGTTTGGTAGTAGCACTGAACAAACTGCTTGTCTGCCGCTCAGGTTTCTCTTGTGGAAGTGGTTGCTTCCTGTTCTTTGTTTATGTTTCTCCGGAGCTGTTTGTCTCTTTCCTACTATGTGTAGGAGTCTGACTTCCTTCTGTATCTCCTGATGTATCCTGTAGGTGCTGCCGAAGTTCTGGTCTAGCACAGTGAAGCAGAGGTATAGTCATTTCCAAGAATTCTTTTATTCCTAAATTAAAAAGATCGAAGCCACCAACGAGAGAGGAGAAGAAACCTCTGGGCGTAGACACCAACTGTTGATTCTTCGGTGCCTCTGACTCTTTTTTCTGGACATCCTCCTAACAGAACAGACGAAAAGATGTTACTCATGTCCCTAGCTTTGGGAATGCCAGATGTGACATCAGGAGAGACGCTTTACTTGAGTCTGTTTCATTTTACTTTCCAGTAACACTTCCTATGAGTATGGGTGTTTTGTGTGCGTGCATGTCTGTGTACTATGTATGCATACATGTCTGTGTACCATGTGTGCATGCATGTCTGTGTACCATGTGTGCATGCATGTCTGTGTACCATGTGTGCATGCATGTCTGTGTACCATGTGTGCATGCATGTCTGTGTACCATGTGTGCATGCATGTCTGTGTACCATGTGTGCATGCATGTCTGTGTACCATGTGTGCATGCATGTCTGTGTACCATGTGTGCATGCATGTCTGTGTACCATGTGTGCATGCATGTCTGTGTACCATGTGTGCATGCATGTCTGTGTACCATGTGTGTGCAGTGCCCTCCCATGGCAGCAGAGGGCGTCAGGTCCACAGGGAGGGCTGTGGGGTGCCAGGCAAGGGTTGAGACTCAAGCCCCATTCTAGACAAGAGCTGCCAGTGCCCTCAACTGCTGAGCCGCCTCTCCAGCCCCTGTATAAGGCACTTTAAAAGGCAACCTGACAACCATAAGAAGTTTGCTAAGGGCAATAATGTGCCGACAATGTTTTCTGTCCCTGCAGCAGATCTACATTTAGAGTGAGGATATCTACGGAGCACTACGCACAGACCAGCAAGTCAACACAGCACTCAGGGGCTTGGCATTCAGAAGTTAGTAGGAAAGGTCCTACACTACGGAGTCTAGAGTAACCTGATTTCCTAAAAATGGGTAAGCTAGAACTTTCCTTTTCTCCCCCAAAAGAGTGTCCCCACATCCTGTGTGGAATTAATCTCAGAATACTTGGCAGTTTTGTGTTGTGTAGCTGAGGCCTCGCTTCTCAGTCAGCGCTATGGAGGAAGCAGCACAGAGACTGAAGGGTAGCACGCCAGCAGAAAGAAAATCACAGGGTTCTAAAAGAAGACACGCAGAGTCCGTGAGCCTCAGAGCAAGGGGAGAGGCTGCTGAAGGAAACATTCTCTTGGCCTTTCTCATATCCTGTCAGTCAACAACTTATATTAGTTTTCCTTTAAACGTATTTCCTGGCGGGCCTTCCTCTCTAGTCCCATAACTTGCCTTTAGACTGTAAGACATGTCCTTGGCTTTAAAAGCATTAGGCCACATAGTCTTCATACTGCGGCCCTGCCCTAGATCCCCGTCAGCATCGCCTTCATACTGCGGCCCTGCCCTAGATCCCCGTCAGCATCGCCTTCATACTGCGGCCCTGCCCTAGATCCCTGTCAGCTTCTGCAGCCAACATGGCCCTCTTTCTCTTTGCTCGCAGACCCACAGGGTTCCCAGCCACCACTTTTGTTGTATTAAATGTAAGGCCTTCGCGGGCTCTTGGAATTCTTTGATGTGGGCCTTCACCCTATGTGAAACACTCATCAGACTGTCTGGAATCCTCTTCCTTAAAAGTGAAAGCTTCTATTGGGACATAAAGTCCGTGCACACAGTTTTGGTTTCATAAAGAAAACCTCTTTTGAGCGCATCATATATTGACCGTATCCATCCTCTCACTCAGCCCCCTGTATCTCCTCCGTGTGTGATGCTCCTTCATTGTTGTTTCCCTCTTTGAGGTCTATTTTGCCTTCACTCTCTGACCTGCTCTGGAAAGCCCAGTCCATGAAATTTACGTCTACTCTGCCTTTAACTTGTAGCCATTTCAGCACCATGGTATGCAATGTATGACTCTGGACTGGGAGGTTGAGAGGGAACACATGCTAGATTGTATCTCTAGAGTTTGTCTAGATTAGCACTGTACTTAAATTTTGGGGTGGGGTTATTTACATATATGTGTACCACTGTTGCTTCTGATGCCCACAGAGGTCAGGAGAAGGGGCCAGGTCCCCTGGGGCTGGGGTCACAGATGACTGTGAGCCACCATGTATGTATGTATGTGTTGGGAGCAGAACCCTGATCCTCTGCAACAGCAACACACGTTTTTAACTGCTGAGCCATCTCTTCAGCCAATCCCCTTGGCTCTACTTAACGAGCAAGCCATTATCCTCTGAAGTTCCATTTTCTCATCTACAAGGGAGATACTGTCATTTCACCTGAGGAATCAGAGCAAGTGTAGAGTAAGTGGGACCATTAGAATGTGGGGCTTAACACGTTGCCTGTCCCATGCAAAACTACATCAGCCCTATCAATAAATCCTTCATGCCCTCTTAGTGCCCTCCGAAAGAGCCACCCCTGCCAACATTGCAGACAGGATGCCTGGTATTTTAGCTGCCTTTTCACTTAGGCAATTGTAGCCTCATTAAATGTGATTAAATACTGAATAAATAAAAGCAAAGTTTGCCATGGATTGTAATCTCAGCACTTGGGAGTTTAAAGTAGGAGGCTCCTGAGTTTAAGGCAGCCTGAGTACATAAGAAATCCCTGTTTGAAAAATCAACTAGCAAGCTACCATAATGTTCCCATGTTTGTGTCTAAGCTCAATAAGGCCATGGTATCAGATTGACCCCTCTAGAAGCCAATGTGACTTATAGTTATACAGCAGTGACAAGAGGATGGCAGGGAATTAGCCTCTTCATATAACTCTTTCATTTGGGAGGGAGGTTTCTCCTAATGGACTCTTTGAAATCTCACTTCCCAGAACTATATAGTGTGGTCACTTCTGGTTCAAAGAGTCTGAGTAAGTATGTATAATGACAAAAGAGAAATACTTTAATGACTATGACTAGGTTGACCTGTTTTAATTTATATCCTGGTCTTAGGCACATTCCCACCTGAAACCAAAGGTCAAGTTATATTAGAAGAAGAAATGGATGTCTATGTAGTCGGTCTTTCTTTGGGACTACCTGCCCACAAATAATGACATAGAGAATTATTAATTATGAAAGCTTGACCTTAGCTTGGGCTTTTCCCCAACTAGCTCTTGTAACTTACATTAACCTGTTTTGTTAACCTACATTCTGCCATATGGCTCAGTTACCTGGCCTCTGTACTACGTGGCCAACATCTTCAGTGTCTCATTGGCATCTCTCTGCCTCCATTCTCCCCAGAGTTCCTTTCTCTCCCAGGAAATCCTGCATATTCTCTCCTGCCTAGCTATTGGCCATTCCGTTCTTTATTAAACCAATCAGAAGATGCCTTAGGCAGAGACACATTTTTACAGTGTACAAAAAGATTATTATACAACATGTCTACTCAAGTAACTCAAGATGCCACATGACCTTTCTTCTGCCTACAACAAGTGGATGGGAACGAACATTTATCCAAGCTAAATCAATCTGACTTCTCCCATTCTTGATCTTAGTTAGTCCCAACACTCAGGAGGCAGAGGCAGGCACATCTCTGTCAGTCCTAGGCCAGCCTTCATAGCCAGTCTCCCCAGGAGACTCTAGAGATGTGTGGTAAAGTGGAGGAGTAGAACCTGGCAGCACAAGATGTACCCTGCATCTGTTCAATAAAATCTCCATTGAGAAGCCCGCACTCATCTCTTCTCGCCTTACTTTCTTCCCTCTTCTGTTCTTCCCTCCTTCTTCTTACTGTGTAAACCAAGATGGCGTGGCACTTGCTATGTAATCTGGGTTGGCCTTGAACTCACGACCCTCCTGCATCAGCCTCTTGAGTGCCACCAAATCTTGCCATAAAGATTACCACTATAATATCTATTTGTGCATCGTCCCCTCTGCCCCCTCGTGTTAGGGACCTGACACCACTGAGCTACACCCTCAGCCTAGCTCTTAAAATGACATGAACTTTGATTAAGCCATAGACTCAACTGTGTGGTCTTTATTGACATCCACTAAGATAAACATGCAGCATAATATTAACCATTTCATGTTGTTTAGTGATGATTCCTTTGTTTGCCTTTCTTGCACAGAGATGACAAATTCCTTAAGACAGAAATAAATAATATATGTTATTTGTCTAGTTCTTAAAAAGATGTTAACTACAAGATATGATGGAGACTCTCTAATATTTGTAGACTGATTGATTGATACCATTTTAGGTTGTCCCATAAACAGAAAGAAAATCGTGGTAATATATTTATATCAGATTAGGAAAAATGCAATTCTAAGCTGATGGTTTGAGTTAAGTCTTGCAAAGTCAAGTAAAACCGTAAAAGAATAGGAGATGTACTTCAGTATGGAAGCGCAGTTTCTGTTATCTTAAGAGGTAAGCTCACTCCTGTCTGTGGGACCATCTGCCTCATACCGTCCAAAGCTCTCACCTTTTCAGGGATGTAAAACACCTTTAGAATCTGTGGAAAGTTAAGCTAACACTTAAAGAGGAAATCGGAGAAAAGCATATTTGACCATTTAGTATATGTTTCTTAATTCCCTTCTTTTTGTTTTAAATGTTTGTTTCAAATGAACTGTCACCCTAGAGCACCAGCTTGGCCTTAACTGAATGGTGCACGAGTGGGCTCCTGCTTCCTTTATCTCCGCGTGATGGCAAGCACGCAGGAAAACTTGACACACTTTTGAGCAAACATTTCCATAAAGAACTTTAGACATTCTTATTCAGCTTAAAAGAGGGTTTGAAAATGAATGAAAAGAGCCCGACATGCTCTAAGGAGGCAGAGACAGGCAAATCTCTGTCAGTTTAAGGCCAACCTGATCTGCATAGTGAGTTCCAGGCCAGCCATGGCTACAGAGTGAGACCCTGTGAAAAAGCTGGACAAAAGATTGAATCTGAGTGTGTGTGTGTGTGTGTGTGTGATGTGTGTGTGTCTGTGTGTGTGTATATGTGCATATGGTGTGTGATGTGTGTGTATGTGTGCGATATGTGTATATGTGTGTGTGTGGTGTGTGTGTGAATTGTCTTTACATTTCTGCTTGTTGTTTAAAAAAGGAATGCAGCATCACCAGACCTTTCATTTTAACCCACAAATTAGCCAACTCTGAGTTTCGCCTTCACCCCAAACATTGAATTTTATGTCACACCGACTGCAGTTTAAGGGAATATCCACGTCTAGAAGAAACTAAATATTAAAAATGATCTAGAAGCAACAGGTACTTAATGCTGCAATTGGACCACAGATGAATCCAAAGCAACAAAAGGAGAATTCATTCTGTTTTTATTCCAAGCAGAAAGAGATGACACATAGGAATTCACAGTACGCACACACACACACACACACACACACACACACACACTCTCATATACACCCTCACACACACACATACTCACACTCACTGACACATACATACACATTCTCATAACACACCCTCACACAATACACTCTTACACACACATTCTCACACACATACCCTCACATACACATATACACACTCTACACTCTCAGACGCACCCTCGAACACACACACTCACACACAAACACACTCATACACTCACCCTCCCCCATACTCACACAATACAATCTCACACATACACTCACACACACACTCACATACAAACACACTCATGCACACACATTCTCACACACACACACTCACACAATACACTCTCACACACACTTACACATATGTACATTCACACACACATACACACTCACACAGACATATGCTCCTACACACACACACACATACACTCACACACAGTATAAGTATTTAGAGTAAGGAAGCACTATTGTTTTAGTCAAATACTTCAGGATATGCTGTCACTAGATTGGCAGCAGGGACGTAGGCATCTCATTTAAATCCACAGCTGCTGATGTTGTCAGGGACAGTGACGAATGCCCACACTGCTTTCAGACCAGGGGCAGGCAGTGTCCTGTAGGTTCTTTTCCACCCCCCAAGGGGGTTCACAGGGAGTGGGGGAGTCAGGCTGAGGGGAGGTAACAGCCTCTTAGTATATTCAGCCCCGTCAGTTCATCTTAGGCTCAAATCATTCTGGATCACGGCTAGAGCAGCAGGGTGACCAGCTGAGCCTGCACTCTTCCTTTGGCTTTGAAGGGTCTTGACCCTTGGCCAGTTATCTTGTCTCAGGTACGCCTTCATCAAGCTGTGGTTGTCCCGGCAGGTCCAAAGTGCCAATCCTAACCCTTCCATGAGCCCCAGCTCAGCACAGCGAGGGGCTCAGGATTGGCCCAGCTCCTCCCCTGTTTCCTCTGCCCACTCTCCATCCACCTAGGAGGCACTCTGCTCCTCCCAGGGTATCTCAGCCTCTGGCCTTTTCTTCCTGTGTCTGACCTCCTGATACCTCATCTCCTTCCCATTCTCACAGGTCTAGTTCTTCTTTCCTACCGGGGCAAAGACAAGAAAACTAAGCCAAACCAAAAATAGTCACAGACGGGTCATGTGAGGTCACGCAACACAACCAGATTTCCCTAGAAAAAGTCTGCTATTTTCAAGGACAAGACAGCTGAAGAATAAACCATTGTTCAACCCTGAACAATATTTTCGTGTTCTTAAGAACTGAACTGTTGACTAAGCGCTGGAGTCGGAGCTTGTGGCTGTGGCTGCTGGTATGTCTTTCCTCTTTCCTCTTTGGGGGCCCACCACCCAGCTCCCAAATAAATCACACATTATTACTTATGAATGCCTTGGCTTGTGTCTAGCCAGATTCTCTTAACTTAAATTATCCTCAGCTACCTTTTGCCTCTGGGCTTTTTCCTTTTCTTACTTCTGTATATGTTACTTTCACTGTTACTCTGTTGCTGGCTGGGTGGCTGGGTGGCTGGGTGGCTGGGTGGCTGGGTGGCTGGGTGGCTGGGTGGCTGGCTCCTGCTGTCCTCTCCTTGTTCTCTCTTGCTCCTCCATCTCTCAGATTTCTCCTCTTTATTCTCTCTCCTGCCAGCCCTGCCTACCCATTCGTTCTTTATTAGATCAACAGGTGTTTAGAGAGGCAAAGACTCACAGCTTCTCAGAGTTAAACAAATGCAGCGTAAGCAAAAGCAACAGATCTTTATGTAGCTAAACAAACGTTGCAGAGCATAGGCAGATGTAACTCACCTGCAAATAGTATTGTGTAGCCGGTGGCTGCCCTGCACCCTATGCCTGAAGTGCCGGGCAGCCCTGCACTCCCTTCCCGTCTGTCCATCTTCAGGTCTTGCGGAGACAGTTTTCTGCTCTACATGTTTTCCCCAGTGCAGCCTTCTTTGTACTGTGTGTTTTCACCAGGCAGTGAGGACAGCCAGGAGAGGAGGGAAGGTACCATTTGCACCCTCTGGAAATCATCGGCAGAGGGGTTGACAATCACCTAGAGTTTTGAGGGCAAATGAAGCAGTCAGCTTTGGTCTCCCGTTTCTAGAATTTCTTTTCTTCTCTGGGCAAATGATAAGGGATTTGAGCAACTGTCACTAAGCCCGGGGAGTCCTCAGACTGCTCCCAGTGTACTCGCTGCCAGCTGCCCGGGGTCAGAGGCGTGCCGCTGCTGCTGCAAGGAGCTGACAGCTCACGGCCGGCACCGGCTCACATTAATCAGGCTGCATCTTCAGATTTGTATATGGTGCAGAATTTTGGGACTGAGATATGAATCCGTTCCTTTTTCCTCCGTGTTTTCCTGCATCCCACTAGACCCACAGAGTGCTAGTCACATGACCTCCTGCCAGCTTCCTCCTGCTTCCCTTTTCCCTTTGTTTACTACTGGCCGGGCCCAACATGCAGACTGCTGCAAACATTCCCATTTCCTCACCTGCCTTGGGAAGTGTGACAGTACCTTTATACGGAATTATTATTATTCCTGGTGCAGGGAGACTTTTCCGAGAAAAGTAGCAAATTACTTGGGGACAGATTTTTTTTTTCCTTGAGAGATGAACTCCTAAAATGGTCCTCCTTGATTATCTAGAGCAGTGGTTCTCAACCTCTGGGTCCTGGCCCCTTGGGGGTCACAGATCAGATATCCTGCATGTCAGAAATTTACAATATGATTCATAACAGTAGCACAATTACAATCATGAAAACAAAATTATACTTATGAAGTAGCAACGAAATAATTTTGTGGTTGGAGGTCACCACAGCCTGAGGAGGAATTGTATTAAAGGGCCACAGCTTTAGGAAGGTTGAGGACCACTGACCTAGAGATACCCATTTTCCTATGGGAAAAGAGCAATGGAAACTCTGTTAAGGGCAGCTCCTTTGCATGGGGCATATGCATACGTGACAGGAGATCAAATAGAAGTAAAACCGAGAGCAAAACCTGTGAGTGTGATCAGAGGATGAACTCACACTTTTATAAATTAGCAGTCAGATAAAACCTAACTAAAACTTGACTGAGAAACAAGCTTAAGCACAGAAGGCTAGCTGGTGTACTCCTGTGGTGGTCTGAAAGAAAATGACTCCCATAGGCTAGGGAGTGGCACTATTAGGAGGCGTGGCCTTGTTAGGGGAGGTGTGTCTCTGGGGGCAGCCTTTGAGGTTTCAGAGGCTCAAGTCAAGTCGGGCCCAGCGTCACTGTCTCTTGCTGCTGCCTGTGAATCCAGATGTAGAGCTCCCAGCTACTTCTCCAGCACCAAATCTCCCTGCATGCCTCCAAATTTTCCACCATGATGATAATGGACTAGTCCTCTGAACTGTAAGCTAGCCCACGATTAAATGTTTTCCTTTGTGAGAGTTGCTGCACTTCACAGCAATAGAAACCCTAAGACAGCACCTATAATCCCAGCCCCCGGCAGCTGAGGCAAAAGCAATGCAAGTTCAAGCCCCCCTTGCTACACAAGAAGACTGAGGTCTTTAAGCAAAAAAAGCAAAGGCATTGAAAATTCAGACGGGTTTTGTTAATAATACTTCTAGATGCACCCACCATAAAGCAAACATAAATCTGTTACATGTTTCTGATCACCGATGTCTTCCATACACTCAGATCAAAGCCACCTGGCTGTCAGGCTGCTCACCAAGGGAGGAATGTAAGGCATCAGGTAAGGATGATCAGGACAGCAGCTACTCCCATAGTATAGCCTCATAAGTTATGAAAAGGTAGATGTGAGTGTTTAATTTAGGTACATGGTTAGACGACATCATAGGAACTATACACAGCAGACAAAGGAATGCTGGGTAAAACCCCTTCAAAAAGGCCCTGTGGAAAATGTCCCATTCTGTGTGACCTCAACTCACCCTTCAGTCAACTCTTTCTTCCTGACTCTCCTCAGTAGTAGGGACATAGGAGCTGAGACTGGCATTAGCATCTTTTTTAGGTAGAAAAGCAAACAGTTCCCTTTGGATAAATAAAATACAGAAGCCCTGGGACCAGGGACGGGGATGGGGATGGGGACAAGGGTCTTCAGAACGTCACTTCCTACATGAAAATGTAAAACTTAAGGAGAACACTCCTTTCCCTTTTTCCCCTCCTTGTGACCTGGGACATGGGAGTGAGACTTGAAAGGGACAAGAGCCATGAACTGACAAGCGTGGCACAAAAAATTGTCACATTAGAGACGGAGGGGAGAAGCCCAGCTGGGCAGGCCAGGGAAACAGGTAAGCTAACTGAAGACCATCACAGCTCACTCTCCTCCAGCTCCAATCCCCGGTCTCATCTCTAGCTCTGCAACAGAAACCAGCTGCAGCCTTCCTTCCCAAGCTCCCCACATCTGTGGATCCCTTCACATCCTAACTCCTCACTTTAGTCCATCCCCAACTCCAGCAGGCACTCCTGCTAACCCACAGGCCACTCCTGTCAGGGAAGCAGGTAGGCTGACTGTAGGCCTCCCCCTCCCCTTCTCTTCCTCCATATCCAACCCCCAGTCTCATTCCCAGTGCTGTAGCTGCTGCTCCGTGGTGACCTCTCTTCCCTGTCTTCCCTCTGTTTCCAAAGAGACTAAACAAGCAGATCCTGGCTGAACACAGTGCTCTCCTCCCTCCTGTGACCACTCCAGGCCCCTAGCCTAGCCCCATCCCTAGGTGTCCTGTGAACCCCTTCAGACCCTAGCCTAGCCCCATCCCTAAGTGTCCTGTGACCCCTTCACACCCTAACATGTCCCCATCCCTAAGTGTCCTGTGACCCCTTCAGACCCTAGCCTAGCCCCATCCCTAAGTGTCCTGTGACCCCTTCAGACCCTAGCCTAGCCCCATCCCTAAGTGTCCTGTGACCCCTTCAGACCCTAGCCTAGCCCCATCCCTAAGTGTCCTGTGACCCCTTCAGACCCTAACATAACCCCATCCCTAAGTGTCCTGTGACCCCTTCAGACCCTAGCCTAGCCCTATCCCTACATGTTGCTCCAAATACCCAGAAACATATTTTACCTGGAACCTTAGTGGCCACAACTATCAGGTCCAAAGAATATTTCCTACCAGGAAATACACAGTCATCATGCTCTCCAAAAATTCAGAGAGGAAACATAAACCAAGGAGCAAAACACCCACCCAACCAGCCATCTGCATCTAGACTTACATTCATCTGAATCTCAGATGCCTAGACGCCAGCATAAAAACTCAACCTATGACAGCCAAGACAACGTCTCCACTAGAGCCCTACAACCCTACCACAGCAGGCTCGGAATATTCTAACATAGATGAAGCACAAGGGACAGACCTTAAAACTGACTACGTGAAGGTAATAGAAGTCCTTAAAGAGAAAATGAATAAACCCTTTAAAGAACTCCAGGAAAACACAAAGAATCCGTGGAAGGAAATGGATAAAACTGCTGAAGACCTGAAAATGGAAATAGAATCAATAAAACCCAAATTGAGGGAATTCTGGAAATAAAATATTTAGAAATTCAAAAAGGAACTTCAGAGGTAAGCCTCACCAACAGAATACAGGAGATAGAAGACAGAATCTTAGGCATTGAAGACACACTGGAAGAAATGGATACATTGGTTGAAGGAAATGTTAAATCTAAAAAAAAAAACCCTCCTGACACAAAACAACCATCCAGGAGATCTGGGACACTATGGAAAAGACAAAATTTAAGAATAATAGAAATATAAGAAGAAAACCAGCTCAAATGTCCAGAAAAATGTGTTTAACAAAATAATAGAAGAAAATTTTTATAGGCTAAAGAGGGAGATACCTATAAAAGGTACAAGAATGGAGCAGCACCAAGTAGATTTGACCAGAAAAGAATGTCCACTGGCCAGGCTTGGCAGTGCACACCTTTAATCCCAGCACTGGGGAGGAAGAGGCAGGCAGATCTCTGTGAGTTCGAGGCCAGCCTGGTCTACAGAGCGAGTTCCAGGACAGCCTCCAAAACAATACAGAGAAAAACAAAACAACAACAACAAAAAAGAATGTCCCCTCACCACATAATAGTCAAAACACTAAACACAGAAGAAAGAAAGTAATGATGATAATCAGTGCTATAGGGAATACAATATATTTATTTACCAGAGAGAATCACCCAAGCTGGGAGTCAGAAGTGTGGCCGGCTTCCAAAAGAGGAGGTCCTTTTTCCTTTCGCTTCCTTTTATCTCTACCTGTGCTAATTTACTTCTCCCTGCCCTCATGAGCGGATAACTTTGTGGGGTTCACTCCTACAATTCCTCTTTTAGTCTAAATAGAAGATTTAAATTTGATACAAACTCAAACATATATACATAGAGGATGATAAGTAAGTTCTAGCCTACTTATATCCTAAGCTAAACATATCCATTCCACCTAAATTCTAAACTTATCTGAAAGGGATGCCTAAGTTTGAACACCTCCTTCCAATTCCAACCCTAAAATAATTGAAAATTAACACTAACAGGTGTAAACTATACTCTAACATCAATAGTAGGGAGAAGGGACGTGGAATTCTCAAATTTACTTCCTGCTGAAGTGGGACGATGACAATCATGGGGACCTGTGGGGAGAAATTGTTAGTGTAACAAGAGTCTTAAGTAGGTTAATTAGTCTTTGTTTGGCAGGAGATGCTTGATTGAAGTTCTTGATTGGAGTTCTATTGTTGATTGAAGCTCTTATCTGAAGCTATGGTCAGATTGTAGTAGAAGGTGCACTGTATCAGTTCCTTATTCTGGAGTTGTGCCTAGTCCTAAATCGGTTTCAGGATGGTGCTTGTCAGGTGGGGTCGATGATGTGGGGCAGTTCAGATGCATCCAGTCGAATCAGGCGGAGTCAAGGAAGTGAATCCCCATTATCTTTCTGAAGCAGTTGTCAGGAAATTCCTTGTTATCTGGAAAACTGAAACATTAATGTTAGCACAGAAATTTTTAACGTTTATGTGTATGCATACTGGGAAAAGCAACCCTAAGGAAGATAATAAACATGAAGGAGATTAGAATGTTAGAAAAAGAACCAAGTATACACAGATGACAGTCCCTAATTTTGTTTTCTTCGGTCTTATGTCAATGGCTCTTTGATATAATACAGAAATTCTGAATTGTATTTTAACAATATGCTTGGGTTTGAAGCAGGAAAGCCAATCCAACTCTAAAGCCAGCGTTAATTAGATGAATTGGGACTAAGGCATATTAAGAAGCAAATAAAAATGGAAATTATAATAACAGAATAGAGAGATTCAGACACGTTGTATTATTGCATGTTTGATGGTCCTCTGGGTAGCTATCCTTTCTTCTTCAGGTATCCATATGCCCAGTATTTTTTCGCTAT